AATGAAATAATGGACAGCTGCAATAACAAATATTTTTTCACAAAGACCTTCGGATATTTTCTTTTTAAGCAATACAAGAGGTCCAAACATCCATCAGAATTTACAAAAGACCTTCCCAGAAGAAATGTGAAGAATTTCAATGGCTAAACTAAATCTGAGGGATCTCCTGGGGGCCGTTGATGAAAGATGTCTTTTAAGCTAATAAGAAATTGAAGGCTTTTCACAAGGTAATACAGGCGACAGGTGCAAACGCTTAGCAAAGACACAAGGTGATGCGAACACCAAAAACTTCTGTAAGCACTTTTAAAATGCAAACTCCTAGCAACCAACCACAAAATTCATAAATTCATATATAGAGAAGACAAAGAAAATTATAAATTCCCCTATAGAATGGAAACGCACCAGACCAACACCCGGAAATGACGGACAAGTGAGATAAGACTCCAGTAAATTCTATTCTCCTGCTTTGTAATGGCTCCATTTCCCTTAGTTAGTGTCTCCACCTAGTGCTCTGGTGGACTGATGTTTTGAGGAGTCCGCCAGAAAAAAGTAGCAGCTTTTTAATAACTTGCTTCTGTTTCCAGTATTTGCAGTATTTCCCCTTATACTTCCATCTTTTTTTTTCTGTAGTAGCAACATTTTTGTTGGAGTGTACTTCTTTTGCATTTGTTTTTCATTTGCGTTTTATTTGCGTCCAAGAGGAGTTTTACCCCGAAATCCAGACGCTCCAGACCGCCTGCACATAGCAAAGCAGCATCCTCCACTGTGGATCCAGACCCCGCTGCTCTAAGTTTCTTGGAGATCGTACAGAGCATGCGCGAGATGAACCAGAGTTTCCGCGGATCAATAAAAATAATTAAAAAATCATTCTTTTTTTTTTTTTTTTTTTAAATCAAGGCCTTAATTGGCACTAAAATTATTTAAATATGTTTATCGAAGTATTTATAATTCTTTAATAAAAAATGCTTATAAAAACAATTTCGTCAGATATATTATATCGCTCCAGGCGGAGAAAAAGCTAGAGGATATATATATACGTATATATGTGTGTGTGTGTGTTTACATACATACAGGAGTCATGGAGCTCTGCTTACAGCTCCTTCATATTTCATGTACACTAATAACTTGTGTACATGATTCTTGTTAATGGTATTAAAATCATTTCTAAAAGCATTTAAATAGCATTAAATTAGAGTCAGTCATTCCTGTATGAACCCTGTGAGCGCTTAATTTAATATGACATATTAAAAAAATCCCACCATCATCTAGCATATGTTCAGTTTCTGCCCAAATATATATATATATATTTGTAGATTTTTGTAACGGGGATAAGGATAATTCAAAACTGCTTTTTTTTAATGAACTTGTTCACTACTTCCAAACTCAGCATCTCTTTTCATTCCTGTAATAAGAAGTTTCTTTTGAATGGATTTCATTAAAGTTTAAGTCCCTCGGTATAAAATAAATATTTTGATGGAGATGAGAAATCTGCTTCCTCGTTGGTGAATAACCAATAGTTTGGATCCAATTATTTAAATAAACGGTGTTAGTTTTTTTTGTTTTTTTTATATATATATATAAGAATTGTGCTATAATTTCTAGTCACCGATCTGTTGCTGCTATATTTTAATTTGACGAACCGGAATTTGTCGATGTTCTTTTTCCTGTTTGGTGCAATTGCAATTGCGGATCTTGACCTGGCCGGACCTTATGACCACAGTGTACCAATCTTCTGATGGCTTCTTCCAACAGGATAATGCGCCATGTTATAAAGTGAATCATCTCAGACTCATTTCTTGAAACTTTTCCACTTAAGTAATTGTGAATTGAGCATATTGACAGACAACATTTTATTTTTTATCTTAAATGCAAATTTTTAAAAAAAATAATTACTGCTCTAAATGTATTGCTCTGTCGGCTAAAGATCTGTTTTGGTCTCTATACTTTAATTAAATAAATCAATTCAAGCTCAAATTTGAGAGGCTATACTAAGCCTGATCTCTTTGTATCAGAGAATTTCTTACCCAGAAAGATGTCACTTGGGGTAAAACCCCCCCTGCAACCCTGGTTTGCATTTGTAAAGCTCACAGCATGTTCATTTACATGTTAAAGCCTCCCCTAGAATTCCATGGGGGGGAGGCATGGGGGGAACACTGACTAAGAAATTCCACGTCAATATCTGACAATTTACGGGAGTTTTTGACGAAGCCTGCAAATTGCCGTAAACTGCCGCTAACCTGAAGTTCCACGACAATCTACAGTGCCGTATATTGACGAAAATCCCACTTTTCATGTAGTGTGATGTACCTATCAACTATCTTACTCTTTGCCAAATTACTATCAAAGCATATGATTTCCTCTGGGTGCTTTGTTCTTTACTGGGCTTTCACACATATTGTTACAGTTGTACAGATTTGTTTGTCAGATAATGATGGTTGGATTTTGTTGTTTAAACACTCAAAGAGGATTTACCTGCTTCAACCTAAACCCTAACAGAGCTTCCACATCACAAATCCTAGTTTAACCCCTGTGTGTAACACTCCGAAGACGGACTTGTATCATCTTTTTGCTCCCAGCACAGGTACAGCATTAGGCTTTAGAATGCAAATCCATCTTATATGAAGCTGAATGTGGAGTGCTTTGACTTGGCACTCTGTGTTGATTGGCACCTCTAGCTAGACAACCGCTTAAATCCAGTTAATCAGCACGTCTGCAGCAGCTCTGAAGGCCTCGGCTTTGCAGGCTTGCATCGTTATTTTGAATGGAGGGAGCTGCTATTGTCTGCCCGAGCCTCTGCATTCTCATTTTGTGAGAGCATTTATCAGTCACTGTCAGTTCCACACAGTACAGCTCCAACTCTGGTTTCTACAACAGTTGTTTCCCTGAAAGTGAATGTGAATTTATGAATAAATTAAATCCTCTCCATTAACATAAACATTTGCTGTTATTGTCATTAAAAATAAGTTAAAATGTTGATATGTGATGAAAAAACTGAATTTAGAGGCTTATTAACGCCCATAAGATTAGAGAAAAAAACTGCCTTGCAAATGTACTCTTGCAACTTGAACCTTTTTTACATTTTGTGTCAGTGGAACTAGGAAGGAAAAAATCAGAAGTTATCAAAATTTCGTTCTTTTCTTTTTTTGCAAATTAAAAGCTTGTGTGATATACATTACCGCTGCTGTCTTCATGACTCATATTGCAAAACTATCTGGATTTAGGGGACATAGCGTGGCCCACTTTTAATGCTGCCTCTATGCCTGTTCTAGTTCAGTAGGGACTGGCAGTGTGGGGATGTCAATAGGTGTTCTGGCAGTGTCACAGATCCTTCCCTGATGGTATGGCGCTGTTTCAGCAGGGCTTGGACCACTCTTCAGCGTAGTGAGTCCCTGGTTAGGTGCCTATAGTTTCTCTGGGCTGAGGGGACTGTGAAAAGCTCTGGTCAGGATCCCGTCTTCCTGGATTCCCATCTCCTTTAAAAGGTGAAACAGTGATGAACACCTCTGCAAGTCTTGCAGAATCACAGTACCTTGGTGACCCTAGGAGTCCCAGTTGTGAGCTCACCGCATGATTCTCCACAATAATATTCTAGACTTATAGAATAGTGTGTGAAAGTCAATGTAAAGACTGCTCTGGTAAACCATTTGTAAGCTGTCTATCAGTTTGTTTTAATGATCAGATCAGGTTTTAAAAGTGAGATCTCACAGCGTTTATAAACGATGAAAATAAGACCCTTGTCTATAATGATCCCCTCCAATGGGGTAATGCAATGAAGTGTATACATTCTGACTTAACTAATTACGATTAAGTCTAATGCCAAAAGCCCTCTCCCACATCCCCACCTTAGCCTGGGTTATTTCAATGCCTGTTCTCGAAGTTCACTGTACTGTATGGCTCATGCTAAGCCTCCTCTGACATTCATCACACATTACCTGTGGAAAAAGTTCAAACCAGACATTGATTGCTGCTGGATGTTGTTACATTTTGCTTAGGGAAAAGCTGTGATCTCTCCATGCAGGTTGTGCTGTTCCTTTTTTTATAACTCTGCAGGAAGTTTGATTTCACAGAGATCTCGCTTCTTTGTTTGTGATCTAAGACATTCTGTGTTTTTCAGTGCCTTCATTTCTGAGAGAATATGAGTTCAGTTCAGGAGTGAGATGAATGACATTAATTAGTCCTGATGTTGGAGCTATGTGATATGTAATGGTGAAATGCTTGCTTTTGATTTGTGCCCTGTTATCTCATTCTGGATAGAGATTGAAACACATATCAGTCGTGAGACAGAAATAGAAAACAGCCAGGAAGTTAGGGCCACAGTATTGTTATGCAGTAAGGCAAAAACATGAACTAATTAGAAACATGCAGCTTATTGTAATGGTATACTTGTTTTGACTCATATACACTTTATATATCAAACAGTTTCTAAAATTACATCTACTAAACGAACCTCCTTCCGTAGAAAAATTGTGAAATTGTCTGTTTACATTCAAATATCAAACTAGGAGAGCAATAGATGCAGAATCCTATAAGTGAAGAAAATATTTTGAGCAGCACTCTTTTCAATTTAGCTTACATGGTTAAGGGATAAGAAATGCTTGTAATTTAACAATATTTAGTTGCACAGTCATTTTTAGAGTTCTATGGTTCTTCTCTTAATAACCCAATCCTGACTTGATGTATAGGACAATGAATGTTGTAACTGAGTTAGAATAACCTCATTTTAAATCTATTTATTGGGAAGTTAGTCAGCTGAGGAATGGTTTTATGAGTCTGTGAATCACTTGGATTTGAATCATTATTAAACATTTATAAAGGAGACTATATGAGCTGCAATATTTAAGGAGTATTTTGAAGCTCGGACATAAAAAATACAATATGATCCATCTCTTTACTTAGGGGGTCTAATGCTGCAACATCCAGTCAGCCTAGAATAGAGTAAAAGGTTTGCCACATCCAGCCTACAGTTTGGTGTATAATTGGATGTGTCTCTGCCCCTTCAGGTTGACCATCCATGCAGAGTGCCCAATGCACCTGGAGGATTTCCCGATGGATGCACACGCCTGTCCTTTGAAGTTTGGAAGTTGTAAGTCAGTTTCACGTCTTTAAATGCAGAATTCAGTGGAAAAATCACAGCAAACAAAAAAAAAAGATAGTTATTGTGCTCAGTAGGTATCAGTCAGCTTTTACCGTTCAGGATTCTTCTCCTCTGATTAAAGCCACCATTTTTCATAATGAAAGATATATAGGTAAAGATGAGGACCTGGAAAACCCAAAGTATTTAACACATCCTTTGCAGGCCAAATGTTTACTACATAAGGGCAAAGATTTAAACTTCATTAATGAGGAAATATCACCATAGTGCATAATGCAGTCAAAGTGCCTGAGCCAACATTAGGCAGAAGCTTATTTCAGATATATCTTTACCATTAAACAGATGCCAAGTTTTATTGTAGTTCAGTAAAGTAATAGAAGATGTACATTATGGTTAAAGCATGCTCAGGGCATTGTTCCACTTACACATCTGCTGTTGGAATTTCATTGCAAGACATTTACCATAAATCTGTCAAAATCACCGTCTGGCAATCTGCTGGATCCATAAACACATACGTGTGCTGCTGTAAAACATGAGTAGAGTCCCAGCAGAGGGTCTACCAGGCCATAATTAAGTTGTTTTTTTTCTCTGTAATTACAAAATCTAACCTGGTGGTTGCGTTAAAAACAACAGAAGAGAATCAGTAAACTAGGATGGATTTATCACTATGGTCTTAGAACATTTGAGAAATTTTTGCTTCTACCCAACCATGTTAGGCTCAGATAAAAACAAGGCTGTCAGGCATGTAGAGATATTTACAATGCCCCAAATTTCCATCTATTTTATTGGTTGATGTTGACTGCATGCAGTCGATCAAGTTAAATGATACATATTTTTCAACAGTTGTACAAAAAAAAGAATAAATGAAGCTTTTTCGGGGGATTTGTCTAGCTGGAAACCGATGGAAACATGCATGGAGCTAAACTCGGTCCAATCCTTAAAGAACTCCTGCTAAGAGCAGCAAAATATATGACAGCTGGGTCCATTTCTGCATTAGCTAACAGGTTCAAACTTGCAGCAAGTGGTCAAACACCCTGCAAACACATGAATGATGCAAAACACAGAAACAGAGAGAAAGTAAAACAAGCAGTGTAGAAGAGAAACAATGCAAACTATGCTGCATTCAAAGGAAAAATCAGCAAATTCCAAAAACAGCAAGTCAAAAAATGTCAGTCCGCAAATCAGAAGTGCATCAGTAATATTATGCGACTGGAAGGATACAAATATATTGTTAGCAAAGACATATAGGACTTTATTTTGTGTGTGTTTCTCTCCTGTTTTCAGCTTTTTTCACAGTGTTTTAGCACATTTTGCCATTTGCTGTATTTTTGTACCAGTCAACCACTGTACATTTCCCCTTCCAGAATTAAAATATTGTTAAGATCAAACGTCTTCCGTGTTTCAGAATAATTTACTGAAAGTCCTTCCCTAAATCCAGCTGAAAGTTTCTGGCAATGAAGAGAATAGTTAACAAACAAAATCTGCAAGCCACACTATTAAGCTTGATCTATCTCTGCAAAGACTGTGCAGCGATTCTTTTTATCACATGAGCTCCTCAAATTTAAGAAGGATAGAGTTTTTTTAAAAGGATAAAATATTTTACAAAAATTTTCTGTATTTTTAAATAGCAGAACTATGATGACAGGATGCATGAAAGGTTGCATCTTCTCAGTGAATAACAGCTAAGATGAAACCTGCTGCTTGATGCACGTGACCTTTGAGTCCTCAGGCCGCACTGCATGAGAAACACAGTCAACACAGTCTGCCCCAACGTCGGGAAAGGTACCATAAATCAGTATTAGGGGAGAAAGATGCCATACAGCAGGAAAGTCTTCCCTTAAATGAGCTGATTTGAGATGGACAGTCGAGGATAGACTGTGAACACGTGTCCTGTGGTCCACTTTTCTGCTTGCTTTTGGTAAAAGTGCAAGAGGGTTTTTAAGTGGAAAAGATAAGAAATGCCATCCAGGCTGTTATCAGTGTAATTCTGCATGACTTGGAGAGAATGACTGTGATTGTGTGAGCAATCCACATATGTCTCTAGTTAAAAATGCATGCCTTATCACTAGTGCCAGACAAGACCGGCCATTACGGAGTTATTTCTGTGTTCTTATTAAATTAAATAAAAAAAGAGATCTGAAAGAGGAAAATACATAAAAATAAGAAGCAATGCTTACACTGATAGCAAAAACTGATGTTATTTGAGAATGAAGGAAAAGTTTAGAGAAAGATATATTTTTACTCTAATATATTGTTTTTTGCAGAGTGAAAAAATGTTCTCTCAAAAATAGATTTCTCTCTCACTCTTTCAAAATCTAAGTCTTTGCTCTCGATTCAGGATTTTTCTCTCTATGTGAAAAATGTTTCATGGGCAGGCCTGTGATCCTGTTGGCCAGTAGCAATAGAATAAACAGCTGAGTGGTGATATCAGGTGCATCTGAGATGAACACCACCTCGCCTTCAAATGCTGACGAGAGCTTACGTGCTGATGGGCGGGCTTAAATGTTTGTAATAAAGCTGTATCGCGTCCTGGCATCAAGTTTGTGTTATGCACCTTAATGCTGAAAAATACACTTATAAACACAATAAATTGCAGCCAACTGGTTCAGTAGCAGAAAGCCCTGTCCAGCTTCACTACAGACTTTTAACTCCACCCATTAGCACACGAGTAAATTCTTGTCCACATTCCAGGTGAGGCGCTGTTCACCTCAAACGCACCTGCTGGTGGAGCGAGGCAGTCTGGGAAAGCAACGGTTTCCTCATGAGTGCCACTATCCGATCCGTATCAGAGTCACGATCCAAACCATTAGCTCATTTGCCTTTTTCTTTTAGGTCGCCATAAATAATGTAATCATGGTACTAAAAGTACTTATTTCTATCCTTAAATAATTAAAGAATGCTAATACACGTTTTAAAAAGAAAATGTTATGACTTTTCTGAGACAATTTGATGCTTTTTACATTTTCTCAGTTCTCTGCTTCCCTGACGTCATCATCACACATGCTCAGAATAGTCCAGCAAAACATGATTGAACCATGTTTATCTCTATTTTTAGCTATTTCTTTCTTTATATTACGCACTATATACCATAAGGTTAACGCGAAAGGAAAAAATAAAACTCGAAAAGACTAGATTTGTGTTTAAATCCAAAGCCAAAAAAGTTAGCTCCCGAAGTTGCGAACAGATTTTAAGGCATTTATTTTCTCAGGAAATAGCTTATTACCATTTAACCCATTATAGTTTAGTAAGTTTACTATTTTTAAGGAGGAGAAAAATATAACTTTTGTATTTTTTTCCAAATTAAATTCAAGGGTGACCCGGATGTATCTGGTTGTGCATGCGCAAATGAGCTGATGGTAGGTAAACACAATGAGTATTAACGACGAAGGCGGACCCAACTTTGCACCTGATATCACCACTCAGCTGTGAATTCCGTTAAGATTGGCCAATAAGAACACAGGCCTGCCCATGACACTTTTATCACATTGAGAGATAAATCTAAAAAAATAAGAGATATATGCGAGATATCTGTTTTTGAGAGGACTTTTTTTTTCACACTGATTGCAAAATAAAAGAGTAAAAATATACTTTTGTGTGCTTCTTTCGTTCTCTCCAATATATTTATTTTACTTTCTAAAATTATTTTCCCCTTTCAGATCCCTTTTTTCTTGAATAAAAATAAATACCCACAAAAATAACACCATAGACCATCTAGTGTTGAACTGCTGAAACCTGGTATTTAGTAAGAATAGATTAGAAATAAAAATATTCTTGTAACACCATAATAATATTTCCTCTTATCTAATCCACACAAAGCGGGTGATTAAAATCAAGGCAGAGATAATACAGAGCGTCACGTTGTGCTTCTTACTCTTACAGTGAAGCTACTAGGTGAGGATTTTTCATGTACTTTGGGGTTTTAATTAAAAGTTTAGATTGTGTTGAATTTTAGAAACATTGAGCAAAGCGTTCCCAAAAGCCTGACAGAGTAATTCATTAGGCTGTTGAAGAGTAGATATTGGAGAAATCACACATAATTATCAGTCATCCTGGATTTCTGTTACATAATGAAAGATAGAATATCATTATATCTGTGTTATAAGAGGTGGAAATCTTCACAGCCTTACATATTGCCTTTGCTCCATGGGAAAGATGAAAACAAATCCAAATTTTGATGCCTGTCTTTTCTGTTCTTTGTGCTTCTCTTCTGACCCAGATGCGTACACCAACAATGAGGTGATCTACTTGTGGACCCAAGGAGACGAGAGATCTGTCTCTGTGGCAGAGGACGGCTCTAGGCTTAACCAATATGACTTACTGGGTCACGTCATTGGCAAAGAAACCATCAGTTCCAGCACAGGTAGAGCTTATTCCACGCTGTAACAGGCTGTGACTAAAATCCTATTTAGTGAAAAAAAAGGATTAGCACATCATTTGTTTTGATAAAGAATCTTGCAACACTGCCATCAGAAAACACCTTTTTTTCTGCTCATGTTTTGCAGTAAATTAAATCGCCTTGTTGCTGTTGGCTTAGGCTGGAACCGTTTTTTTCTCCCTGTTATTTCTGAATTATTTACAATTTTTCGGTACGCTGTGAAAATAATGACTGTTATCAGTTTTTCAGGGGAACTGCTCAGCCTATTTACATTTATAATATGAGCAAGTGTGCCTTAGGTTAATGTTTACTCAAACAAGCGGTCCTGTAGACCAGAATCCTCTTTAATAACTGCAAAAAAAAATTAAAAGAAAATATCTTCTAGCCTAAACTCTTTGGTGCAATAATATTTGATGTCTTTGTCAAACTGTTTGAGCCCTTTTATCTTTTTCACATCTAATTAATTTGCCCTCTAGAGGACATAGAGTTTATCACAGCCAAACAAAATAAAGATATGAAATAAGCTGTACCAACAAAGCCATCTTTATATCTGGGAAAAAACTGATTTAGAAAGCTGCTGATACTTAAAAGCCGTTTGAAAATTGTTTGATTTGTTCAAGCTGAACTTGATGAAGCAGCATTTGAATTAAAAGCCTGAAGTATATTAAACGCATCTCAATTTTCAATGAATCATAAGTGCAACTTTATGCAGTCAGAGCCTATCAGGAACAAATACTGCTATTCATAATCATTTCTTAGCAAGAAGGTTTGATTTGATCATCTAAGATAAGATTATCTGAAAAATGTAGCAGGAAGTGTGTAGGGACACATTTTCTGGCATTTACAGCTGTAGGTCTTTTAGGCCACAGTAAATATCCAAGAGCTTAATAATGCAGCTAGATGGAGAATTTGACTTGAGAGTTTATCTAAACATCGGTTTCCAAAGATGCGTATCGTGGGTCTTAGCGATACTCAGGGGTGGTGCTGAAATAGAATAGAATAGAATAGAATAGAAAAATCCATTTATTGTCCCACAATGGGGTAATTGTAGTGTTACAGCAGCAAAAGAATCTAGAAAAAGGTGTCGCACAAATGTGGACCTTAGAAAAAGTGTTTAAAAATAACAGAATAAGTGACAGAGTTAAGAAAATAAACAAATACTGTACTGTACAAAAATTTCACAATATAAATACTGTGCATGTGAAACGAATATATAATCAATATACAGCTGTGGATATTTTTACAGTAATGGATTTATGAGAAAATAGCAGCAACATCAGAGATGTGCAAAATGAAAACAGCTTAAATAAGTGACAGAGACAGAAACTGTGCTAAAATCAGCATGAATATAATAACTTATTGAGGTTGTTAGGAACGGTGATGGTTATAGTGTCTTACAGCTGCTGGGAGGAAGGATCTGTGATAACGCTCCCTGGTGCATTTAAGGTGTTTTTGTGGAAATATTTCTGTGGCCTTAAAGATAAACGTTTGTGTTGATTCTAAATTAAAGTTGGAGTTTTGTCAAAAAAAAGATGCTCAGAAATTTAAACAGTAGATCATGTCCTCATATTGTTTCCCTCATCTCGTGATATGCAACTAATTTCCTGAAAATCAGTGAAGTCTGAAAGCTTTTCGTTTGTCACAAGAAACACTAAGAGGATGCAGCAGTTTGAGGTAACAGTGCAAAAGAGCTGAATGAAGTTTTATCTTCTGCAAAGCTGAAGATAAAAAGGCTGTTTCTGTAAATCATTGGGAGAGAGCACAGCTTACAACTGAAGCACACCAGCTTCCTATTGGGAGAGATTTAACCTCGGGACTGAAGCTGTTTGCAGATGTAGCTCTCAGGAGGGGACTTACAGCGTTGCAGAGATGTGTCAGACTTTAGCTGTGACTGAACACAAACAATACACACCCTTGCTTTGTTCACATTTTTCAGAGCAAGACCCTAAATAACTTGTTTCTCAGTGAGAACATCCCATATTAACTGTACTGTTTAGTAAGAACAGCAGCCAAGAGAGCTGCTATTTTAGTAGTGAGAACAAGGGAACTTTCCATGCACCTAAGCTGATTTTTTTAAACTGGTTTGTCTTCCAGGCATCAAAATAAATCTCATTTCTAGAATTAAATTCTAATGAACTACAGTGAGCAGACGGAACGGGCAAGTTTGAGCTGCAGACAAACCACCTTAGGGAATGGGAGGTTGTTTCTCTCGTATCTCTGCAGCACAGATTGCAAACACGGGAATGAGAGCCAGTGCTTCGGGAAACTGAATCTGGCCGTTTGCTGCCATCAGTGACAAATAAAAAACGCCGGAGAGTGATACACACACATCCCACATATCAGCTTATAAACATAGAGGCGGTGCACAGGAAAAATCCTAATGTTCATAAAGCGATTTCTTCCACCTGAAAGTTATAACTACTGCCTTGCTAATGGTTTTAAGTTTCCTTTGAGTAGCAGAACCGAGCGTTTTAATGTTTCCTAAATGTACCAGGAAGCTTTTCATATTCAAATGAACGTGCTTAAAATGAAAACATCTTACTTCAGAGGAACTTTTCTCCCTCATTATGTGTAATTGCAATTCCATAATTTGGAGGAAAAGGCACACAGATTTAGATTTTTGGAGGGGGGGTTAGGGATCACAGGGGTAATTTGGATACAGAAACTCCCTGAACAGATCAGAGTCTACACCAAACATGCTGTATTTACAAGTGACGTTAGTCTATATTAGTTTTAACTAAACTTCAATGGATGTTAGTCCAATCATTTCATGCAGTGTTGTTACAGTAACTCTGTGTGTAAAAAGATTGTGACAACTTTAATCAGCTTTTTCATTCATTTTGCTGTGATTGCAATTCCATTTCTCTAAACTGACCATCTTTGTAATAATAACCCTGAACTTCTTTGTGTTTCTCTGTTTTTGGTTCCTTTAGGAGAATATGTCGTGATGACGACATATTTCCATTTGAAACGGAAAATTGGCTATTTTGTGATTCAAACCTACCTTCCGTGCATCATGACTGTCATACTGTCTCAGGTGTCCTTCTGGCTTAACAGGGAATCGGTTCCTGCCCGCACTGTGTTCGGTAAGTTGCTCTAAATCTTACTCAAGATTAATGATTTAATCTAAGTGGAATATTTAAAGCATAATAGCTTGCAATTTTTTGTAACACCTGCAAAAAAAAAACATTTATAACAGCTTCCTTCTTTTAAATTCTATGTGCTAAAACTTAATGAGTTTTAGATACTTTAGGTGAAGCAAAGTGCATAAGTTTCGACAACCGAGATAATCCCTAAAGGCAGAGAAAATAAATGTAAAAGTTAGAAGGAAATGTCAGAGGATGAAGACATTTTCACCGATTTCTTTTATGATAAATTTGTCTTTTTTACAGAATCACATTCAGCTTTTTAATTTAAAAATGAATATGTGAAGTGTTATTTTACCAGCTACAAAATTCTGGAGGAAATAAAAGACAAAAGAAAAAAATAACTCGCTATGAGCTTTCCGTTCCTTTAGCCTGCAACTCTTTCCGTGCATCAAATGTCTTTGAAATCAATGCTTAGATTTTCCTTTACTAAAGTAGAAATCCATCCTTTATATTTAATAGGAGGGTATAAAACTCTGAAAAACTTTCTAAAAGTTATTTTGTTTTACCAATGGACAGATGAAAATTCATTTAGACCCAATCATTTTCTTCTTTTTAGAGAACAGATGTTTTTTTTTCCTTCAGTACAGGTACTTTTTGTGCAGGGATTTACTGCTATCTAAGCCGACTGGTCTTTTAGGAGGCATGCCAACAAAAATGCTTTCCTGTACTACAAATGTAAACCTGCAGGGTTTGCTAAACTCTGCCGGGACTTAACCGCCAACTGTCTGCTTTGGTCAAATGAGAAAAAGATTTTTGGCAAAAAATACAAAAAAACACTTTAGGTGAAACAAAGGAGTAATATGTGGCAAAGCAGATAATGCCCATTCTTATGTACAGCAGAGGATCGGTGATACTGTGGGATTGTTTTTCTTCCAAACACAAGGTTAATATAGCAGCAAATCTAAAATAATCATTAGCTGGACAGTAAACTAAAAATGGATTATCACTGGGTCTGACCATAAATCAAACAGAGAAAGGTTCACAGACACCAAATCAACCTTCTTCGTGGGCTTTTCATTCCTCAGAACAAAAACCTATAGGGCCGGATTTATCAAGATCAAATTTTGCGTGCAGTAATTGCGCTCGCAAACTGGAATTTTGCGCGAGGGGCTGAACCATGGTTTGCTGGTGATTTAACAAAAGTGATTGCGTAACTGGTGGCAGGTGCAAAACTGTTGGAGACACCCTATTTAAATGATGGTTTTGCGCGTTTTGTGGTTTGCGGCAAAGTAGTTTGTAGTTTGTACAAACTAGTGCATTAAGAAATTTTAATCTTACAGTGACACCCTCACCCCCTCCAAAAAAAAAAAAAAAAAATATATATATATATAAACTTTGGCAACCTTTATTTCCTAAGGTGGTATGTGGCTGAATTTCTACTTCACTGCAGTAAAAAAAAAAATGCGCGTACGCATCCCTGCAGCATTGGCATGTTGCTCCACAGGCGCAGGGGGGAGGTCGGGGTTCTCAGGTAGGGCGTCAGGGCGACATGACATTTAGAACGTCGGACAGCACTTCTGAAAAACGAGATTGGGAGATCCCAGCTCTCGCTGCAACCGTACGCTGGAATGACCCAGATGCAAAAAAGTGCAATGTTGTAAGAAGTTTTATGATATCTGGTATTGCGTGGGTCCTCCTTGTGGCTGGATCCAAATCCATTCGGAGTTCCTCCAACAGCTCCAAAATGGCAATGCTGGATAAACGATATGTTTTGATGATCGTTTCCTCGTTCATTCCAAAAACATTCACACGGAGTGAAAAAATGCGTTCTCTGCGTCTCCTTGGTTCATTTCGATGTCTCTTGTGACAATAACCGCTGCCATGTGTGCGCAATTACGCATACAGACCATTTGCACCTTCTTTTGAAACATGTTAAATATAGAGTCAGATACCGTTAGCAAAATTGCTTTCAGGTTTGATAAATCACTTTGCGAGTGCTAAATTAATATATTTACATGTTCTCCTCCCACAAGACGCACTTTTGCGTGTAAACGCCCCATATTGCATATTCATTGCAGAAAAAGTACTAAATGGATAAGAGGCGCTATTTAGTACGTTTTAAAGACCAAATCCTTTTGGCACGCTGTTGATAGATCAGTTTGTACATTTTTTAGGGTGCGCAGTGAAATAGCTCACGTTTTTATACATGCAAACCTTCCATAGATCCGGCCCATAGAAAACATTTGGGTTGAGGAACAAATTCTCCTTATAATCTTTGCCAAAAATGTACTTGCATCAGCTTTTAGTATCTATACAGTGCATTGCGAATGTATTCGACTACATTTTTTACCGTACTGGAGATGACTGGAGAGTCATCAGTAAAATTAACTTAAATAGAAATTATTTGTCTCTCTAATAAAGCCTATAGCAGGGGTTAAACATCACTTTTGTTTAATTCAACAATCACACACTGATCAGATTAATGAGATCTTTATTGAGGTCTTTAGACAATTATATAGGGTTTATTTATCTTTTATGCTCTCCTTTCATTTTTAATATGGTAATGACCAACTTTTACTCAGCTCTGAGAATGACAAACTGTTCTAATAAAAACACCCTTCAGTGCAGCAAAAAATTGAAGTGGAATTATAATAGATAGTTAAAAATTGCTGGTGACTATTTACGTTTTTAAAGGTGAATGGCTTGAAATGAAATTCTTGATATCTGTTACGTGTTTTTGTCCAAATTCTCCCCTCATGTTTCACTGAAATGAGATGACCGCCCTCCTCTTCGATGCAATCATTCTCTCTCCCTGTTTTCTATATGTTCATTTTTTTCTGAGATAAGATAGATTGGAACAGAGATGGGATTGTTTTTATGTGGTTGGATGGGCATCCATTGTCCGGGCCAAATCTCATTTCCAGCAGTGCTAAGTGACAGAGGCTGGGATGTGAAATGATCTATGAAATTTTCCGTTTACACCCCAGTGGATTCATTTTCCAATTAATTCATTTTAGTTGACAGGGATATGCTGTTCTCTTTTCTCAACCTAAACTTTTTATTGAAGGTAACACTGTCTTGTTAATGGCACAGCTTGTACTGAAAACTGGGATCCAAATCAAATTTAGACAAATGTTTGCTTTTTGTATCTACAGTATTTATTATTTGTGTTTAGGGATGAGAAAGTTATAAAGGTTGAAAGGTCCTCCTTCAAAACTCTCTACTCTTAAGCCCACTTTATAGAGTCTCTATCAGAGAAAACATTAACTTAACATCTAGCCTCAAAAAACTTGTTTCAAAGATTTAAATCTGCCTGAGAAATAAATAATTCGGAGCCCAACTCTATGCAGTGCACCAGCCCACATCTTTATGCTTCTCTACAATAATATACTTAAAATCTGGTTATATAATTGCATTATACTCATTGTTTTTGTTTCTTTTAATTATTTATAGCAGATAGATGGCTTGTCCCTTCAAGCTCCTCTTAACTCACCATCATACAGGGCTCCACTTATCCGTTTATGATTTATTAAACAATTCTTGCATCAGACTTGTTTAAAACAGAGGATATAGTGAACAATAGACCCCTGTAGTGGTCTAATGCAGTAGGGACTCGTTTCTGGTCATCTGAACTTAAAACACTGACCCGGTGCACTTGCGATGTTACGCATCAGTGAACTGTGTCAGTAGTGTGAAGCTCAGATTTTTAGACAGCAGATTACATAAAGCTCTGTTGGGCAGGGTCTAATCTTTACTTAAATCTAAAAGTACTAACTCTAATTAGATTATTGATTTTAAACACCCACAATGGACCAATTTAAAGTTTTGAATCTTGTTAAAAGAGAAAATAAAGCTTCTTAACTTGCCTGAACCTATTTATTTGTGCTTTCATTCTGTCTCCAGGGGTCACCACTGTTCTAACCATGACCACTCTGAGCATCAGTGCTAGAAACTCCCTCCCTAAGGTGGCCTATGCCACAGCCATGGACTGGTTCATGGCTGTCTGCTATGCCTTTGTCTTCTCTGCCTTGATAGAGTTTGCCACAGTCAACTACTTCACCAAACGCAGCTGGGCGTGGGATGGGAAAAGAGAGGGCATGGAGATAAGGGTGAGTGATTAAACAATCAATACAAAAACTTTGTGCTTTTTCCATGGTATTTATGCTCTTTCCCACCTCAAGCACCTCAAAATGAGGAATCAAAATAAGTTGTTTTCAAAAGTCATTCCTGCACTTTAAATCAGATTTGACCTCGATATTAAAAATAATCTTTTCTTTATTTATTTTTTCTTAGCAAAATCCCATAAAAAGCTTTGGCCACACGTAGAAGGTTCCTTTTTTTAAACACAGCCTTCAGTATTCTATAAAGACTTTAAAGCGTCCTTTTATTTATTCATTAGCAGCCAAATGGAACAGGAACATTGGGGCGGAACACTGAGAGCAAAAACAGAAGTAAACTCCCAGAGACGTTGGCCCTGATTTACAATCGCAGCATATGTTCGGAGCTCTTTAAAGGCAGTGTGCGCTCGCTCTCCCCAGAAAAGATGCCATCCTTACATCTGCATGCAGATTAGAGAGTGAGCGTGCTTCTCTTCAAATGAATCACCTGAGGTTTACCCTTCCTCACTGCATGAAAGCCAGTGAATCTTAACTTAAAGAATTGGATACTGTTTGTGTGTTGTTTACAAGAATACAAGAAAAGGGGTAAATATTCCTTTTTAAGTTGTGAAATCAAAACACATAACTAGCTCTTATTTTCTGCGTGTGACCCCCTTAAACTTCTGCTTGCAGCTTGAGCAGACCGTTTATTTTGAATGCAGGAGTGTAACCTGCTTACATGTAAAGCTGTGAGAACATATTTGCCCTCCATGATTCATATTATCAATAAAATCCTAAGAAATATAGAAAACTGACTGCTGATTTTGCTTCTTAAGGGGGAAAAGTCTTCTAAACCCACCTAGAGTTGTGTAAATAAGTAATTTCCCCCTAAAGCTAATACTTGGCTGTGCCAGCCAATTTGATAACTGGCAGTGAGTCTTTTACCTCACTATAGAGAAATGTAACTTTAGCCACACTAGGATGGTTTTGAGCATGAACAGCATGTTTCAGGTTATGGTATTGAATCTTAATCAGAAACAAGTCTAGATTTTGAGTAGGGAAAATCAAAACCTTCTCTCTTTTTTGCCATTTAGAGGTGGACAGAAAATGATAGCCGCACCCAAAGAGCAAAATTCATAGCTCTGTCAATCCAAGTTTTCCAAATCTGAAATCACATTATATTATCCCCACCTTGTTTGGACATTATTTATCATCTTCTTTTTTATCTTAGAGCCAGATGTAATAATGGCTCCAAATAGATTACAAGTTACATTTTTTTATTTCTCTAGTCAGTCCAAAGAATTTTCACCAGAATTCTTGGGGATCATCAAGACTTTTCTTATCAGTGTTTATAGGGCTTTGCATTGTTTGTGGTTTCAGGTTGCTAAGGCTAATTGATGCCCTTTTGGCCTTAGACTTAGACAAATTTTACAATAAAAAATTTCGTTTTGTACAGCTTTCAGACAGTAAATGAGCAGCAGCTTAGAAGTGATATAAACATTTCCGTTTCATAAAGTGCAGCAGCAATCGAATGTAAACAGCGTGGGAGAAAAAAACGGTGCAAAACACATTGGTGGAAGTTCAGAGCAGTGCAAAGATGTACATATATGGTGCAAAAATGCGTAGAAAAACATTTTTTAGTATGAGTTCTTTTTTGGTTTCATGTAATCGGTGTGGTGCAGAGTCTTTGACTTGATTTAGAAATTTATTTCAACAGTTCAGCAATCTGATGGCGGTTGAGGAAAAAGCTGTTAGCCTTCTTACAGTGAGATCATTAACACTTAACGTAACTCACTTATATAAGGTTAAAGAGCTTCACTTGTTTTTCTTGGTTCCTTTGTAAACTCCTCTTGGAGTAATTGTGGGAAGAATCACTGCTTTTCTGTGTTTTCTCCATTTGTGGACAATGGCTAATACTGTAAATTAAGCAAATCCTGAAAAAAACTCACCTCTTAGTGAATATTAGCAGTGTTTTGACTTAAATTTGTTCTTTTGGGGAGGTTTGTAGTTTTTGTTCTGGCAGTTCTTTGAGTTTGGTTAGTAAAATTGAACTCAGCTTTGCACAAAGGAAAGGTTTTTCTGTATAGATCTAGATAGGCATGGAGAGCTTTTCATCTACAGCAAATGTGATCATTATTTTAAAATTATATTTTATATTTACTTGTCAGATGTGTGAAAAAAAATGTGAAGAGATCTGGGTGGGGGAAAAAAACCAATAAAAAAAGCTTAGGGCTTTTGAATGCCAACAGTGTGCATTTTAGAAAAAAACGTTTGAACAGTTTCTTTGCCATTTAATGCTAGATTGGAGCTTGATTAAGCAGAATTACTGCTAATAATTAATAAATGTTGACTCTTTGACTAAGTATAGCTTTATTAGATTACTAAAAATGTCATAGTTCTGTTTATGTACAAACCCGTAGGTATGTTTCATACATGGTACGTTGAAACACAATGGGTTAGGCTAAATTACAGGCAACCTAAAATGAATGTTACAGTAGTTTCATGATTATTTCTTTAGATTTAATCAAAGAAATCTAATCTCATGAGTTATGCAAAAAGCTTGACGCTTTAATAAGGGATTGCTTTTAAAAACTGACGAATCCCAAAGCGAGCATAATTAAACTGTCCCAAATAAAGCACGTCAAAACACGTCAATCGGAAACACAATATAAGAAGAAATGTGTTTTGGCTGCCTCAGATTCTATAGCACATCTATTTTTGCCACATATTTACAGTGTTTGATCCAATCAATGTAGCCTACCCACTTGTATTTATGTAGTTCTTTTCTATTGCTTGACATTTGGTCTTGAGACCAACAGGGATAAAAGGAGAACTTTGGAGTCGGCAGGGATGTTTATTTTTTTTCCTCTTCTGAAGGCTAAACTTAATGGAAACAGCCTGGGCTTCTTAGGGGCTGTGCTGAGCACGCAGTTGTCATGATAGATAAAAAAGAATGGGGTCACACGGACATACAAGATACTACCATCACATTCCCTACAGAAATGAGCCACTGGAAGGCGAAGGCTTCAGAATTTAAATACATGCCCTCATAACCAATGGAGCAAAAGATTTGATCTGATATGATAAACTGCAAGACAAATGAGGCTGCTTTGGAGTTTCAACTCAGTTTGTCATGCGGACTTTCGAGCTCTACGCACTGCAAAAACGATCTAGAAATAAGTAAAAAATTTCTTAAATTAAGTGAATTTACCCTTAATTTGAGCAGGTAAATGAGATAGTTTGCCAATGGAATGAGTATTTTTAGTCTTAAAATAAGATAATTAGGTAATATGCACTTGAAATAAGACAATGCAATTGTGTTTTCTTATTTTAAGTGTAAATTGTCTTGTTCCATTGGCAGAATGTCTCTTTTAGCTCCTCAATTCAAGAACAAATGCACTTATTTTAAGAAAAAATGACTTATCTAGATTTAGATTTTTTGCAGTGCGGCGCCTGGCACAAGTTGTTTCTTCCTTTTCCCATTTTGTCACATTATAACCTCAAGCTTCAAGGTATCTATGGGGGATCTTATATAACAGAACAATACAAAAGTGCATCATCCTGAGGAGGAAGCATCATAAAGACTTATTGGATATGAAATTTGTGGAGAGGTTTACAGCAGGATTACTGCTGTAAAATAATTCCCCAAGCTTTTAAAATCTCATTCATCCTTCAGAAATGGAGACAGAAGCTGTAGTATGATTGCAAACCTGTTAAGAGATGTCAGTTTACCCACAAATACCAGCTATGAAAGGAAAGCAATAATCAGTATATCAGCAGAGAGAGGAAGTCAATGGTAACTCTGGAGGAGCTGCAGAGTTTCAAAGTTCAGGAGGGACAATCTGACAGGACTATTAAACAGACATTTTACATATCAGGGCAAGAAATTTAAACAAAAGATAAGCTTTTTATTTTTCTTATACCTCATTACTATTTTGGTCCAGCAGATATTCATAAAAGAAGCACTCTGAGGTTTTTGGCTGTAACATGGCAACATGTTGAAAATAAGAAGAGCTCCTTTGAAAGAACTTTCGAGCAAGCAACAACCACCAGGCTTATGTTTTGGTATCAGACTGTAAACTGTAGACAAATCCATGCATTTTTCTTTTTACTTTGCCGCTAAAGGTTTAATGTCTTTGTGAGAAGCCATGTGCCTAATCAGTTAATTCACTAAAAAATAGGGAGTATCTCAGGGTTTAGCCAGTGGATATTAGAAATGGAAATCCTTGAATCTCTGTGATGCCTGATTGGACCTTTCTGAGAAATATATGTTCTGAAGGCCTTAGCAGAGACACAGTTACCGACTGATGTTGCAGTGACTTTCACTGCTAAAGCCACAATGTGAGTGACGTTTGGGGCTGCAACTAACGATTATTTTGTGATCGATTAATCTGTCGATTACTTATTCGATTAATCCATTAATAATCGGATAGCAAAAGGTTCCTTAAAGAAGACTTTTTATGAAATTAATTAAAATTAAATTAAACTAAAACTTTCCCACTTGAGGAGTTCTGGAGAGAGGATATTGACAGACAAAAACGTTTTTTTCTCGCTTAAATGGAAAATATTTGTATATGTTTTACAATTTTGTTATAATTACTGCTCTAAGCTGGTTGCCCTGTCATTTAAAGACACATTTTAGAATCTCTATATTCTAGTTAACGATTATTCAATTAATAAATTATGATTATTTCAATAGTAGATTAATCACAATTAATCTGATTTATTGTTTCAGCCCTGGTGAGGTTTTCACAAAAATCTGCCCTGCAACAAAAACAGGGATATGTAAAGACATCTGATGTAATTACTGCTTATATATTTAAATATATACTTTTAGTAAGCTAAGTCTGCTTTATCTTATTGCATGTCAGTATGGATAATGCTGACTTTTCTTTTTGGAATTTTGTCTAAAATTGTGATTGCATTTTGTAAAGCCTCCTCTAATTTTTTTGTTTTTTTCTAATATTTTTAGATGACACATACAGGGGGTTTTCTCTGCAGTAGTGGAGCTA